TAGGTTGGATGGTGTACATAACTCAACAATAGGCCTATCCACATATTTTATGGCATTGAAATTAAATGATAGTTTACCAATTCTGTTTGTACATCAAAGTTTTCAATTTTCATCACCTTGTTCCGGATTAGTAAATATGATGAATTTCAATACTGTAATTGAAGACACAACCAACTCATGGGATAACACAAGGATGGAATATAGAGTACCAATGACTGGTACCTATTACGTTGACCTTAATATTGTTGTTAGATCTGGTAACACTGTTGAAGTCAATGTAGTAGTTAATGGTGATAGAAAGTTTAGACTATTGAAATTTGGTAGAGAGCATACAAGATCGGAGATTATTTCGAAAGGCGGATTGGTTCAAATGTCTAAGAATGATATCTTAACTATAAGATATAGAGGTTGCGTAATAGCTGATGATATGGTTTCATCAATGTCAATCTTATTAGTACCATAGACTATTTAAATATTATGAAAAATCTTAATTTAATAAATTGAAATTTTGAATAAAGAACAAAATACTGAGAATGGAAAATTTATTGAAATATGTTTTTTTTTATTTAGAATAGAAACAATATAAAATATAGAAAAAAAAAGAAAAAAAAAACATATAATTTAATTATTGATTGAACAAGGATGATTTTTTCAAAACAAAATTATCAAAACTCAATTGTAAACGAAGATGAACGAGACCTGCCTGTTAAAAACCTATCATATATTCAAAATCTCCTGAATTCTTGACATATACATCAAAGAATGTTGTTGTTTTAGAAGTTGGGCTAGATTTTAAATAAATGCCTTTTTTTGAGAAGAAAACCATAAAAAAAGCAAATAATGAAAAGGTTAGGAATAAAATTTGCTTAACAAACCAAAAGGAGTAGCAATTTGTTTCCACGCATTATATTTCCTAATTGCAGGACAAAGAGCATTCTTTGTCAAAAAAACAATTTCGATCCTTGTTTAAATCTTTAAATACATTAAAATTATTCTTTGATAAAGTATTTGGAAAAACAAATAACAAATTGATTACCATTTGTCATATTGAGTGTTTGCTGTTTGGAAATAGATAGTCCAAAATCATCAAGATAAATTTCACTTGATAAATCATTACTATTAACTTTGAATATTAACTGATAAAGAAATACAAAATAATATTTTGAAATGAAATAATCTAATTCAATTTACATTCAATAAATTTGGTTCTAATTCAATATATTGAAGTTGTCAACAATTCATGAAACGTTTTAATTTAATACTGAAATAGAGAGAAGAAAATTTTAAAGATAAGCCCAAAAAATAAAAGAAAAAAAAAACCTTTGACTTTTTTTCTTCCTATAATTTTTGACAACTGTTAGTACATCGTTATCTTCATTGGATGATGAGGATGATGTTGATGATGATGCAGCAGATTGACAAAAACTGAATACAAAATATTTATATTTATCGATGATTTTTGTCGTAAAATTGGGTGTTGTTATAGTTGCATTATAATTGCTATCATTGCCAAGGTAATTGTTAAGTTGAATATATCCACCTAAAATATAATCAAAAACATTTTTTAATATATAAAAAATGTTTGTTTTTAAAAAAAAATTTTTTTTTCAATATAACAACAATATTTACCACTAGAATTGTAAAACCATTGAAAAAGACTTTGTAACTCACTGCTTAATTTATAGATACATAAATCATACTGAAAATTACAATTGAAATTGTTTTCTAAAAAGAAAAAAAGAAAATAATATTTGTGTTGTTTTTAATTAAATAATTTTGCAATTAATTACCAAGAGTTGAACAATCAAAGATATGGATTTTTTCAATGTTAACAACGTGTTTCTCATGATCCAGATTTACATACTTAAAAAGTATTGTAAATGGGAAGATTGTAGAAAGTATGATTTCTAATTTTATTTTCAAATGGTTCAAAAGATTGATAATCAAAGGAGCCAACTAAATAATGAATTTGATTTTTAGGCTTGAAATAAATCTGAAAAATTTTTGAATATTGTTTCTCAAACAAATGAAAAAAAAAGTATTTTTTGTTTTTACTGATAAAAAGCTATGATAAATGGTAATACATTTTTTATGCACATTTCTTATTAGTTTAGAAGTAGTTAATGCAACTTTTCCAAAATGTTCTTTTTCACTTGATCACTTAAGATATAAGAGTTAGGAAGACTTGGTTTTAGGGACCAATGGTAGTTTAATTGGTTCGTATTGATAGTCTTATGAAAGCAGTATCCATCATAAAAATTACAATTATAGCTATCTGAGAGAAGAGAAGAAATTCAAAAATTATGAAAAAAACACAAATTTGAAAATGAAAAAAAAACAACCATTTTCCCAACAGTGTCCTGTTAAAATTTGAATATCTCTAAAAGTAGAGGAACAGTGTTGCATATCAAATCTCAACTTGAATTATAGAAAATAAAGAGTATACAAAAAAGTTGTCAGAATTGATGAATTTACTTGAATTATTTCTTCAGAAATTGAATATTTAAAACTATTATAGCAAGTGTCAAATTGAATTAATCTAATTTTAAAAAAACAACAAAAAAGTTAAAAAAAATTGATAAAAATTATTAAATATGAAATTACTTGAAAAAGTTCTTATCATTATAATCTCCAACTTTTCTTCCAAATAGTAAAAGATTTTTAAAATATGGAAAAATAAAATACAAACATTTTCTTAGATTTTGATAATTGAGTATCGGAGAAATCAAATCGTAATTTCCAGTCTGTACCTGTTGTGAGGAAGTGATAGATTTCAGCAAAAGTAGATGTTTCCCTGTTGAAAAAATATCAACAATACTATTTAAAATTGAAAATAGGAAAATTTTTGCTAGATTTATCATAATCAAGATGATAATTTATATCCAATGGATTATTGATAGTAAAACCACAAAAAATAATTTTGAAGACAATTTGGTTTTGAATCTGAAAAAGAATAGAAAAAAAAAGATTTTCAAAATGGCTGACCAAATTGATTAACCTTACCAGAAATTTCACCAATACATTTTCCATTATAGATAGCAATTTCATCAAATTCAATAGATGATGTAAGTAACTGCTCGGATTGCGTATTTTGAAGATTATCTGTAAAGAAAGAACCAAATATATGTAAAATTTCTTCTTCCTTCATTAAATCACCAATTTGTTTTAGTGTTCCATTTGAATTCTGAATAAATATCTGATAAAAGAAAATTTGAAAAAAAAATTTTTTTGATACGACAAAAAAAAATACAAAACTGAAAAAATATGGTATTTGTTCACATTAGCTGTGAAACTAAGATAGAAATACTTTTGAATATTTTCTAAATATTCACTTTCAAGGACAAAGAATTTCTTTTTTCTTGTTTCTATTTCCAAATAATTAATTTGGCCTAGATAACATTTCTTCTATTATTGTACCATAATCATATTGAAACTACAATACTTACAACCAATATTGTTTTGTCTGGATCTGATTTTCCTGGACTCAATGAACACCCAATTGCTACTAATTTTCATTTTAAACTGATCTTTATAAAAATTACAATACAATATATAATTTGATGAAATTTTTTGAAAAGGAAAATATCTGTAAATATACTTCCGAAAAGTTTGTTTACAAAGATCTTCAGGCTCAGAATAAATTAATTTGGCAGCCTGCCAAACCTGTCAAACTGATAAAACTATTATTCTCATTCTTCTCACCATTGCTTTTGTTCCAGAGTATGTTAAATAGTGTAAAATTTCACTTTCAAGAGTATACTTGTCTAATTTTGTGCCTTTGGCATAGTTATTGTTTGAATATGTAAATTAAATTCCAAAGCAATCATGGTGTGTTCTCGGCTGATCTTTAAATTATTTAAATATTGCACAAAATAATTAGAATTATTTTTCAGTAATCGTTGAAAAAAATATAATAAATCTTGTTTATAGATTTTGTATAATTTTGATGTATTGTTTGTTAATTCAATATTATATTTTCCATCAACTGAATTTTAGTATTCTAAATTTCACCTAATTAAGTTAATAGATGAAAAAATTTAAAAAACGAAGAGTTTGAAAAGTTCACACTGCTTACTTGAACAAGATAACCTGGGATAAAAAATTTCCAGCTATCTTTACGAATTCTTAAACTTTTGACCCTGTTAATAAACATTTGATATAATTTGAAATTTATTTAACAATAGTGTTCTAAACCTTTTAAATGGTTCACTTAAAAATTTTCTTCCCAATAATTCTACATCTAAGAAAGAATATTCTTTATCAAGACCAGTTATTCCAGTGAAATGTATACATTTTTCCGAATTTGTTGAAACCAGTAAAACTGCAATAATATCTGAAAACTCTTTCTGGTCATTAGGCCTATTGACAATAGTCAATGAAATCTTTTTATCTAAAAAAAATTTGAAAATTTTTTTTTTTAAATTCATCGACAAAAATTCAAATTTTATTTTTACCATCTTTTTTATTCTTCTCGTTTTGAAAATAAGTTAAATGTCTATTATGCAATGAATTACGAAGTTCAAAACCACAGAAATTATTAAATGGACACTTGTCTTGATAATCTAATAAAAAAATTTTTTTTTTCATTTTTTGTTCAATAATTAAAAAAAAATAATATTTTGTTACCCATTTTTAAATTAGTACAACTTCCGCTTCTTAAACTGATTTCACTGATAAGAAATTGTCCATTAGGAAAATTTTTTTCAGTATTAAATATTTTCAGAATAATCTGAGTGACAATTAAAAAAAATTGAGAAAAAGCAATTAATTGAAATATCATAAATACTGTACTGCTCTTGCTGGCAAAATCTATGCGTTTGCAAGTTATAACAATACTGGTTCTACTCGAACCTTTAAACAAATGTTTAAATTAAAACGGTTTATTCGCAATAATAATACTTAAGCAAGTAACAATATGAGAGTTCAATAGCAGAGTAGATAGTTTGTAATAGCAGGTTGCCAAATTACCAAACTGTCTTCCAATGTTGAGGAGTAGATGGATGGTTCCAGTGGAGGTTGTTTCCAGATGATTTTCCCAGGTCCTTGGGTCCAGATGGAAGCTGCATGCCAAATGAGAATTATGAGGATTTATATACTTTGAGGTTTGTCTCTGACATCCAATCATCACTTTACAGTTGCCAAAATGTGTAGTTCATATTTATGTTTAGTAACAGGATGTTACAAGGTTGAACATTTAGGAAGGTTAATTAAATTATAACTTGGCCAAACCTTTATTGGTAATTAAAGATGAGCCTTCAAGCTGACTAATCAGACTTATGTTTGGCCAATGTTATAGCATTTTCTTGCATAGGTTTTAAGATGTACATGTATATGTTGCATCAAATAATAGAGTTCAAGCATGTAAAATATAACCAAAGTTGTACAATACTTTGAATGATTCACTCGGATATGGATTAGTCAGATTAATAAGAAAGTGAACACTATTTAATCCACGAATTCCGTCATCTTTATTCAATGTGGATGTTATTATTTGGTAATATTTGAATAAAAATCTAAAAACAAAAATTAAATAAACAGGTTTTCATTTTGAATATTCTACTTTTAAAACCAACTTGAATGCTAATATTGATATCAATGTCAGTT